TCTCATTTTTGTACAGTAAATAAAATGTAAATTCCTTAAAACTACAGCCTTTTAACGATTTTTTTTATTTCGGCGCAAATGTAGAACACTCTTTGTGTTTACCTGATTGAGTAGTTCACCTTCATGATCAGACGAGTCAAAGAATTGAAAGTTTTAAAAAAAACCTTTGATAACGCATTAGTTCAGAAGCACAAAATCTAATTTCAGGTCCTTTTACGGTTCTGGCTTCCAAACATAGACGGTTTTTGGCTTTCAGTTACAGTGCGTATGTATGGTATTTACAAACTTGGAGTAAGTATCTAGTGCACAGATATGTGCAAAAATCGCATAAAAGCGCCCCGTTGTGATTATTTCACTGCCGTAAATAGGCCCCTCTTTTAAAGAAAAAATGAGCGCTAGAGAAGAAAAGATTGGATTTTCCATGAATTCATCAAAAAACTGTTCGCCCTGCTTTTGTCCAACACAAAAATTGTGCATGTAGATGAGAAATGGAAGGGACTAAGTCAGTAATTGGAAAGCTTAGCTAGAGGGCTGCAAAATCTAGCCAGAGGAGCGGGAAATAGATGAAAGGCCATTAAAATTAGCTTCAGAAGATAAAACTGCGCTAGTATTTAAAAATAAACTTTAGAAACCATAAATTTCTGCGCGAAATTGTAAAAGTTCCGGGAAACGAAGCAAAAAAGAGTACTGGAAGGGATCATTGTTGCGGATGAGAGACGCTTTAGGTGCTGGTTTATAGAAATGCTGATCTTTTTGACGTTACACGCACACTAGGAGAAATAAGAAGTCTTAAATAAGAAATAATAGCGGCATCGATCATTCGCTAAATAGCGGCATCGATCTAAATAGCGGCATCGATCATTCGCAAGCTTAATAGTAATAACAGTAATAATAGTGACGGAAATAATAATATGTTATTACCATTATTGTCATTGCTACTACTATCATTATCACTAACCACCCTTTATTATTAATATTATTATTAAAACACGACCATATTGCGAGCGAGCACAATGGAGGAATTTGGTAGTTTCAGGACAACTGTTGAAGATAACGAAAATGGCCCATCATCTTTTGAATATAGCACAAAACGAAATATCACTACCGTCAAAATAAAGCTTGGCGCAACTTCCGTTGTTTCGATTTTGAAGAAAAAAGATGACAGCAGCAGTGACGAGCCTTCCATGTCCAAGAACCGGATATCATACACAGGTTTAGTTGTTTGTTCATTTTTGCGTATTTTTTGTCGTTGATATGGTGCACTTATTTCTGTTTGTTTATCTGGCCACACATATCAGTTTGGAAACTGCGAAAGCTGGGTTACGAACAAAAATCGCGAAATCACTAGAAAATTCGAGTAATGTCAGGTCCAAATTCAGCAGAATCCATAACTTCCGATGAGGAGCTTAGAAATTTGAGAACAAAATTT